CTTTGTGCCACCAGTACGAGAGAGGCTCAAGTAAGCCAGCGCACTGTCACTCACACTGTGGGCTGTTCATAACCAGCAATTTCAGACCTAGAGAGATGTCAAACCCAAAATCAGCACGTCAATGACAGGCCATGAACTATGAGATCACAAATCGGGACATCTCACCGAGCCTGACACATTATCACGCTCCATTTTGTAATGATTTTCCTAATTCCAGTACCACTGCATCAGGGGGTTCAACTGATAGAAGTCCGATTGACAGCCAGTTTGCAGGCTACTTGAGCACTTAGGGTCCGTGCTCACCAATGCTCATCATCACAACGGAATGAAGCAGTGAGAACAACACTTCAAGTGGACAAACCGATCCTGATGGGCATTACAGACCAATCCATAGGAAGGTCCAAGCCTGATGGTCAGGGCACGAGTGTCTAATCACTACAGAGCTCCACTTGTAGTAATTGTTGGTGGCCTGATTGCATGATACTCCACTGATCAATTCCTGGAATCACACTTGTGTCCCCTGCTGTGGACTCATCTCAATGTGACCTCATTCTTGCTAAATAATGTTATCAGTGCGAGAAACTCAAAGCTCTGATAATGTGATGTACAGTATACTGTGGATGTCCTATTTGAACTCTTATGGGTTGAGCTAGGATGACAGGTGACATCCCAGGCTCAGAAACCAGTGTACAGGTACACATTTGACCTGGCTCTGTAAGAGCAATGGGGCAGGATCCCACAAGACAGCACCTGCTATCATGTGCAAAGCATGTTAAAGTAAGTTGTCACAGGTGTACAACAAGTATGGCTCCCAATTGAGGCCACACACACAACTAGCCTTTAACTTTCACAGCAGACCTCCTGTTGATTAACCCAAATATTAATCAGCACATTGAATTCCTGACGTCATGTCTGTTCATTACAATGCCAGCATACAGTACCTGCTACAAATGTGACTGACACTTTTTTCATGATAGCTTTGTGAATTTGCTGCAGCCATAAATCATGAGTTACTTTTGATATTCAGTATAAATTAAATATAGCCCTGAAATTCATGCCTGTTTTTTTTTTTTAGCAAGGCTCTGATTGTTATCGATATAATGGACAAAGCAGCATAGGCATGCAGCAAATCTGTGTTTTTTGAAATGACAACATTTAATTTCAAAGTAAGCTCTGACAAACCCCAGGGCTTAGAATGTGGCCTCAGAAGTTCAGCATGAAAAAGACGAGAGCCCTTGCTGTTGTAAAAACCTCCTAGCCAACTTTCCCTGTAATTTTTAATGGCTTGTGTGTGCAAAAAATTGTGCAACTTTTTTCCCCAGCGACAAATTTGTGCACACTAATTTGAGTGCATGTAAAATTGTAAACCTGAAATTATTTTTTGTTAAAAGTTTTTCTCATAGAAGCACAGAGATCCCAAAGACCGGGACAGCAATTCAACGAGCCCAGTCATAGAGACTGAGTGCTAAGCGAGCATAACCAGTGAGGTACGAGACTATGAGAGCATAGGTACTAATTATTATATATATAATATAATATTATTATTATTATATTATTATAAGTAGCAATCATAATGCACACAGCCAAGCTGGACCTCTCGCGGCCAGTCTCATGTGGTCAATTTAGCAATTTTTCAATTGACAACCGTGTTTGTTTTATTATTATCAGATTTTTTTTAAGTTCATTTTTTGTGCGCAGTTCAATTTCCTATGTGCGCTGATTTTGTAACCTGTGTGCGCGCACACGCGCACAGCTTAGAGGGAACATTGCTCCTAGCCCTTCCACTCGTGGGCTGAATAAAGCTCTGTCATTTCCCATCTCTCTCCTTCTCCAACACTGTTTCAAGGGAAGTTCAGTAGACTCACATCACTCACACACTAATCACATTTGTTCATCATTTCCACACCAACATTGTCATTGGTTGACTCTCATTCTTAGAGCTTGAATTTGATGTACACTTAATCTTTAATTAAAAAATAAAATGTAAATATATCTATTTCATTTGCATTGCATCCTCATTGAAACTGTAGGACAATATGTAATTCTACATACAGTATATGAAAAGGGAACCAGCTTTGTTCTTTTACTTTTTATAATATGCACTTTATAAACTCCTTAATGCATGGAGATTTGTGCGTAAGAATGAATTGAAATAACTGTGATTGGCTTCAATAAGGGGACAGATCCTTTTTCCCTTTGAAGAGAGAGAGAGGAAGCTGCAGCAAATTTAAGACGAGGACTCAAATTATTGACCCATGGAAGTGCATATTGAAGTACAGTATTGAGGTTCAAGCGCTTTTCTCTTTTAAATGAGAATTATTGTCATGTTGCATGTCTGCTGATCTTTTCAAACAGGCCACAGACTGATGTAGGTTTAAATCCAAGAGTTCTGTGCTGCTATTGAATGATAATGTGTATGTTATCTGAATGAATTCATTATTCTACATCTTTACAAAATCAGAAGCCATTCTGTGGCTGGTGAAAAGATGCAAAATACCTATTTGAAAGGTAATTTTCAATTTAAGTTTCCATAATTAAAATGATAGAATTTCAGTTAAATATCTCTGTGTCCGTATTTAAAGATTAGGGATTTAAAATACAGACCTATGCTGTACATCCAATTAAACATACATTTTTTTACTAATTTACTCAAATATGACTTACGTTAGTGGTTTAATTATATGTCCCTCTTATTTTACCTTCTCCCTACAAATCATCTATTGAGATACGAAATGATTTGGGGACAGTTTTGTTCACTGGCATTCCAAGATTCCGAACATTTACTGATGGAAAAAAAGAATCACAACACCTCCTCCTCCTCCTCCACACCCTGGCCCTCCCGTCTGCGTGGAACAGACCGCAGAGTGACTCATTTGTAAAGAGGACCTGATGCCACTGCGGACCAGTCCATCGCAGCCTCTGTCTGGCCCAAGCCTGTCAGGTGTGACGTCTACGAGGTGCGAGTGTAACGATTCTTTGGGTTTCCACCCTTGCCAATCCTGCCCTGCCAGTTCGTCCCTCACCGTCTGGGCGCGAACCCGGGTCTCCAGTGTCACCAGTGTCACGCAACAGGGAACTTGCTGGCTGAGCTAAAGGAGACCTCCCCCAGCCCAGGTGGCTGAGATCCCTGTTATTCGCAGGGGTGTATGCGTTACATGGGCAGAGGGCCTCTGACAGGTCGCCTTGGTCTAAGGCCAGCAGCATGGAGCCTCACTGTCCTGTCACCAATGCGGGCATTGTGTGACAGCAGTAGGGGTGGCAGATCTGAAACGCTCTCTCAGATGGACCAGTCTGATGTGTCGGTCCTGCTCGGGTGTGGTCCACTTGAGGGCTTTGTCGGTCAGGGGCATCTGGGGTATCGCCATTCAAAAATCTTATGACGAGCAAAACCCACTGTTTATGCACACAGAATGTACGAGTTGTGTGCTACCTAGCTAGACTGTTTCACATGACCCTAGGCAAGAGAGTCGGCAGTCTGTAAACAGCCTACCAGTTGACCGCGGCTTCGCTGTTGCATGTTTCTATGAGTGGTCATTTTGTGAGTGTTTTGTAACACGATCGCAATGGAGAGGTTTTTAAATATGAGTAAAAAACGTGGAGGACATGGAGCCTAGTTCTAAAAAGAAACGGACATGCAAATACAGAAAGTATGACAGTGGTTTCTTGAATTTCAGTTTCACTTGCACAATTGTGGACACTGAAGAATGTCCTCAGTGTGTTGTCTGCCTTAAAGTGTTGGCTGCTGCGAGCATGCTCCCCAGTAAATTGAAACGTCATATGGAAACTGTTCACAGTAGTTTGATAAGTAAGCCTCATATTTTTTGCGCAAGTTTAAATAATGAACAGTAAGATGCTTTTTCTAACTAAACTACAGTCCGCAGTTCTTTTTTCATCATACAAAGTAGCATACCGAGTAGCACCATGCAAAAAAACTCATACTGTTGGAGTACCAAGGGATAAGCAGCAGAGCTCTGTGAATTCTGCTTCCCTGTGCAATTTCCTGCCCTTGTGAAACTGGGTTTTCAGCACTTGTGGTGATCAAATCCAAGTTCAGACAGAGAGTCAATGTTGAGATGCCATTTAAAATTACATTGCCATTTAAAAAATACTACCCAGTATTTTTGGTGAATTATGTTAACATAATTTATTAATCAAGCCCACCTACCCATTAGGAGGCACAAACAAAAAGACACTGTATTTCTCCCCCCCTTTTTAAAAAACATTGATGCTAGATTTTTACGTTTTTATTTAGTCATTTAATTTGCATTTTACAAGGATGCTGACCAATTCTTTAATCTCTTCAATTTTCTTTGCACATTCAAATACATTTCAACAATTCTTATTTTTTTTATATTTCAAATGGTTTTTGTCTCAGGTTATCATTAACCTGAAGTGGCCCGCTACACAGTTTCAAAATTTTATGTGGCCCTTGGGACAAAAAAAGTTTGCCCACCCATGCTCTAGTCCCTATACACATGTGATGCAGCCTTCCTCCTCAAACATGGGATTTACAGGTGTCCATCACGACGACACCTGGTGGCCTTAGTATTTAGGAAAAATGAGTTCCACATTAACCGAATTAAAACGTTTAATTGCTAAATACGAGAAAAAAGGCAATTCAAAAAAGCCGTTTAAAGATACACACCGAATCGTTCTGTATTTGAGATTTGCACAAAGTACTCCGTGAAACTTACAATCCAGGTTGCTATTTTAACCAGTTTATGTTTAACAATAAATTTAACAATATTTTTGTTTGTTAAATATGTGGAGGCAGCCCTACAGAGAACACACAGACGACACCTGGTGGTATCCTACAACAAAATAAGGTTTTACTTCAATCTTTTCTTCTGTACAGTTGTGAAAAACATTTTGATTTTTTTATCCGACATATACTGTACGTAATGCTTTCTGGATTAAAAAAAAACACTTAGCGTGTGATTGATACATTTGTGTTTAATTAAAATACCTATTTAGAAAGTTATCAAAATTTATGCACTTACCATTTTTCATAAATTAAATGCGTTTCGCTTTTTCTCTTAGTTGTAGCCAAGTGCAGATTCCAGATCAAAGGTCAAGTTTCATGTTTTCCAAACACAGAAGGAGGTAGGACAAACGGTGAGTGGCGTTTCTAAACGAGGCTCTTTCTTTTGTTAATAAAATTTTGGGCGCTTGAAAGCCAAGTGCTGTTTTAAGCCACATTTATTACTACAGAGAAAGGAGGACCATTTTTTTTATTTTAACAGCTTTATCCCAAACTGACTCGAAAAGTTGACAGCTGTTTTGAAATCATATTTATAATACGACATGCATCGCTTTCAGTTAATCATACACACATAGATTTACAAGCACATTCCCGTCAGCAATGCATAATGTCAATATCAAATGCATATGGTTATTTGCTTTGATTAGCAATTAAGAAAATTGTGGTAGCAACTCTTCTGAGGTGCCCTTGGGGTTAATAACAACTATCAGTTATTTCAAAATATCTTGGTTATTCATTTACTAGCCTGAGAAACAAACACTTTTGTGTGTTTGTAGATCTATACATTTGTTTTTTATCTCCAAAACCCCGATAAATTAGTGTTAATTCTCGGATAGGTCACATGTATCACATGAAAGTGAATATCATTCCAACAAGTATATTCCCCAACACAGTGGTCATATTTCACTCGTTCGTAAAAGTGTCTCAAATTAACACTTTAAAAACATATCCAAAGACATTTAGTCTTTCCCTCTTATCTGTGTATGTGACGTGTTCTTACCGTTTCATCTTCTTTTCGTGTTTTTTTTTATCTTTGTGGGACTGAATTCTTACACCAGAACGACAATAATACATTCGTCTTCAAGCGTCTTTGAAAATGAGATGTTAACTCTTACAGAAAGCTATCCTGATAACCTGCTTAATTTAAATATTTCCTAAAGATTTAAACATATATATTTTTAAAAAGTGCAATCAGAATCTAAGTGTCTCTATTCAAAATATGCTTCAATTAATAATCGCGCCGATGTTGTCCTCTGTGCCTCAATATGCTTTAATTGGTGCAATATTGGCTTTTAATGGTACTTATATATACAAAAAGAAAAGCCATAACCATACAAGGAGAGAAGTCAAGTATTCCCAAGCTCTTTATAAGAACAATTTAGAATAGACGAGTGCTTTTCAAACCTTGGATAGAATTTGCCAGTTTTTTCTCGGAAATGCTTGCATTTCTTGTTATATGCTTCCACCTTAAGGCTAGTACGTGAACTGCAAGTTTAGACGTAAATATCCCCAATTTGAAAACCTTACGTTTGACATTCATTTCGAATTTGTGGTTTTATTATCGTATAGGTCTGCCTTATTTCTTTTTATTGCCTTAGATACCTCACATGTTGAACATGCACAAAATAGCTTTAAGATCTGTAGTTGAACCGAATATTAATGAAAGATTAAGAAATATAACAATCATTTGTTTACCGTAAGATCAATTATTTTCACGGGACATCATGTGAGAACTTCGTTAATTATGGCTTGATAAGTTTGCCTCTCAGAGAACTAAAAAAAATCCTAATTATTTTACATAATTAGTGTATATTTGTATGCTGTAACATATAACAGATTATACAATAACTGTTTCCTGATTTTAAAACAATTAAAATCAAAACTATTCATCTAAATTTGACAGAGAAGGGAAAAAGAGTGAGAAAAAAATCGTCCTGTAGAGAATCCATCACCATTGAAGTAATGATTTGGTATCAATCACTTTTAGTAATTTAAAGATTTTAGATCTACAAACATTATGTACACGTGCATTTTCAGGTATTTTTGGTTCTCTGTTGGAGTTTTACATTCAGCCTGTTAAGCACGGCAGTACATACAATATTGGTATCACCGGTTAACCCACAAAGCAAAGAAAAAAGCCCCCCAAAAAACAGTTCTTGTATCCTGTGGTATGAATATACTGGTCTTTTTCATTAGTCCTGCACACAGAAAGCTGAAGGCGCAGGTAAAAGGGGTTGAGATTAAAGCGGGCCCAGTTGTGTTCTAAGTGTTAAGATCCACGATCCTGTGTCTCAGCAGTGGTGAACAATAATGTGCACTTCAGGGACAGGTTTCCAAAGAGAATATGGTAACAATGGTTAATTGGGTATACCGCTAATGAAATACCCAAAATCGCATCTCACCATGTGTGACTTATTTGTTCATCTTCTTGCACATCACGATAATAGTCTCATCAGGACTTTCCCAACCATACAAGCCCCTTTTTAGGCTGGAAGCAGTGTCCACTTCACACAAATGAGGTGCACATCCTTCAGCTGGCAAGGCTGAGACCAAATTGATCATTGATTTCATTCATTTCTATTAACCTTTTCACACATTGCTTCACCATTCATTTGAGCATCTATTCAGCTCAGAAATGGTAAACCTTGAAATAAGAAAATACTCTCTAAAAGCACATTGTCCTTTCGAACAGATAGTGCTTCTTGTCGTCAGTGACCTGCATGAGGAGTTTGTTGTACTCGTGAAGATAAAGGCCTACACTCCATCTGATGCTCAAATGTTGACCTTTCACCTCTGAAGACAATGTTTAAATGCTGTGTTCTGCTTTTTCATAAGCAAAATGTGAGGTTACAGTATATGAAGTTACAAAGGGAAGAGAACCGGTTGGATATGTGGTGAGCTATTGCAGTTTCTTCTAACACAATAAAATCTTTAATCACACATTTGTTTTTACTGTGAAGCGCTTATTGTCGCTGCACTTTATTCAGAATTTCATTGTTATACTTGCGAATTGGCGTTTTCATGTGACGACATTGCAAGTGAATTAGATATTGACTATTCTGTGGTATATACGGTATATAAACTAAGGTGATGTTATATAATTGCCAGGTTCTGTTACTAATACATAAACTGAAACTAAAGCAAGATAATTAACCGGATTTAATCATTATTGATAATATTTGTAACCAAAGTAAACTAACGATAATAAATGCAACAGCAAGAAAGACATGGGGTGGAACCACTACTGAAAAGAAGCTCAAAATTTCTGTGACTGCTTATCTTGCACAACCAAAAACAAACCTTCAAACGAGAATAAGGCTGTGAATTAACATTGGAAAAAAAAACATTGTGAGGAAAATTTAGAGGCTTTATTTGATTTTCTAGAAGATCAAAATGCCATGGTTGAATCTGTCCATGCCATGAAAGGCAAATTGAATTTCACACTGTTTATTCTGTTTTGTAATTGAATTTCACACTCTTTGTGTTGTTCACAAGTGTGATATTCAGTATGCTGTTTAGATGAGTCATGGTTTTCACTTCAGGTAAAGTGTTTGGTGTTGTGTTTGTGTTTTTTTTCAAATGTAAGTCATAAAAATGCATCGAATTATGTAATACATGTTGAATTACATATGAAAATTGCAAAAAAAAGGTTTAAGTAGCAGCATCCTGTTTTAACCATTGTGACCATTTGGCACCAATCATAAGCATGAATATAAACCGCACCAATCACGTTTACAAGGGCTCCATGAGATCTTTGTAGTTCACAGTCTGAAAACAGGACTTCTTGATTCACACTTGATGTTTCATCTGAGTAGTTTAACATCTGCTTGACATTCTAGGAAATTGAAGTTTCTGGTGTGTGGGGGAAAGTGCGCCATCTGGTGGCATTAAAAAAAGGATTTACCCAGAAGCCTCACTTTCAGATGCAGCACATGCAGATTTAAATTTAAAATAATGCCTAGCCTAGGTCAGTTATGGGTGATTTTGGATAGTTACTGTACATTCCAGAGGGCTTTGTGGATATTTTTTTAATCACAGTTCTCTTAAATCTTGGAAACAATGCTTCTACTACTACATGGATCAACTACGTAGTCAAGAACTCAAATGACATGACTGCAAAAGTGTCTACTGGTTATTTGACGATGTAATAGAATTGCTTAGCATATAGAAAAATAACAAATCATATAAATCAGAGTGGCTTTTTCTTGTTGTAAACTTTGTTCTGATTTAAGAAATTATGTTTTTACTTGACACTTTTTTATGGGTGGTAGCTAAGGCTGCCTCATACAGTAGTTCATGGATTCTAGCTTTGACTCTGGAGTGCGGCACCTGATATGTGGTTTTTCAGCATCATGCAGAGCATCATGTCAATGCTTTGCTGCTTAATAAGAATTTGGGGATTCTGATAAATATCCTGAAAAGAAAGCCCCTTCCTAATTGTACTGCATACATAGCATAACATAATTGTGTGCATATCTTATATAGAACAGTTTTGTTAACCCTGGTGTTCTAACTGAATTCCACATTAGGCTTAAAGTATATCATCTAACCTTCTTAACTTTCTCCCTTAATTCAACTCTTAAAGAAATTTCTCACTTCTACTCCTCATCTGCTGTGTAGTGATGCTGCTGGCACACAATAATAGGCCCTTTGCATCAGCCTGCATCAGTGGTGAAAGGAGTGGCCCCATCAGGTTGAGAATTTTGAGCAGGATCCGTAATCAGAAGATCTGAGGCAGCTGTGTTTCCACTGGACACATTTCCACTGACGGGAAACAGAGATTACACAGCATTCATTTCTTCTGTGCTTGCAAAAAATAAAGTAGTGTATGTGGTTGGATTTTTTCAATGTATTGAATGTACTTCACACGCATTTCTTCACAGGTCACAACACTCTGCCTGCGAGAGCTGAATCCTGGTTTAGCGATTCCCTGTTTCCCTGTGAAACATTCCTCATTTGGAAATTTTTTTCAAACATTTCTCACTTTGCCTTTAGTGCTTGACTGTCCGGAAGGTTTGAGTCTCACAAAACACCATCTTGTCTAGTTCCCTATCTCGCAAAAGGCAAAACATTAATACAAAAAGATGTGTTCAGTTTACCACCTTTACACATGGTAAGGAAATGAATTTGTTTTAGTATTATACTCTTAGAACTGTTTGTTTTTTCTCAATTTTTATTTGAACTCAATTACCACAGTATTATCACAGAAGCTTCTGTAGCACTTTTCATTAAAGGTCTATTTTAGTAATAGATTAATTTATTAAATTAATTCAAAGTAATAGATTAATTTCACCTTTTCATACTGTCCCACGCAACAGATGCAAGTGACTGACTCAAGACACTATCAGAAAAAGTCTGTTTGAAATATAACATTTGTCTGTTTTCTGTTTGAAATATAAAAGTCTTATACGAGTATCTCAACTAAACAATGTGGTAAGAAGGTCAGTTTACCATGTGGAATGGAATGATCCTGCTCTCATTC